AAATTTCTGAATCTTCATCTAGGGAATTATAAGATTTGAATAAAATAGTGGGAGTTAATTAGACTAGTGGGAGCTAATTAGATTAGCTTAATAAAAGATATATGTGAAAACACTCATATATTTTTTTTTTTTTTTTAATTTCCTTGTAGTATCTCTCATAAAATATAAAACTGTAAAAAGATGAATAATCTATTGTTGAAAATCCTAGATGAGAACAAGAAGTTAGTTGGCCGTGAGAATTTTAATGATCGGCTGAGGAAACTGACAATAATATTAAATTTAGAAAACACAGCCTACGTTTTAGAAACGTCTCTACCTGACACTCCTCCTTCTGATGCTCCTTCTAATGAGCGTAACGAATATAAAAAATGGAAGGGTGATGAACTTAGAACTCGCTCTTATATGATGGCATTGATGAGTGATGAACTCCAAAGAAAGTGTGAAAACATGAAAAGTGCTAATGAAATTTACCTCACGTTACAAGAGTTGTACTGTAAAAATTCAAGGATAAGACAATATGAATTAAGTTCAACTTTATTCGAAATGAAGTTGAAAGAGGGTGTGTCACCAGAAGAACATGTCATGAAGATGATTAACATTTTGGGGCAATTATATGCCATGAAAATTGAAATGCCAGACACCCTTAAGGTGGATTTAATTCTCTAATTTCTACCTTCAAGTTTCACACATTTCATCAATAATTATCATCTCAATAGGATTGAGAGAAAACTTTCTGATTTGTTGAATGAGAGTTAACAATTTTATGATAAAAAAAGAAAAGGCAAAAGGCAGGAGGTTGTTAGTATGACTTCTTCCAGTAAGACAAATAAGAAAAAGCCAATGAAATTCCAAAAGAAATTTGGAACAAAACCCCAAAGGAAATGGGTTTAAGAAAAAGGCTGCACCTCAAGCCAATAAATCTAAAGAAAAGAGCAAATGATTTTGGTGCAAAGAAAATGGGCATTGGAAAAGGAATTGTCCTCTCTATCTAGAAAGTTTTAAGAAGATTAAAGCATTTCTCATTGAGAAGACTGAATCAGGTATGTCCCAATGCTATGTCATAGAATTTGAATTAAATGTTAGTTCAAATAATTCATCCTGGATATTAAATTCAACTACTACTTCACATATTTGTGTTTGTTTGCAAGATTTGCAAAATAGTTCTGCTCTAGCAAATGATCAAGTCATGCTAAGAATGGCGAATGGAGCCAATGTTGTAGTCGAAGCCATGGGAACATGCAGTTTGATGCTTCCATTAGGACATTTTTTGTATTTATACAATGTTCTGTATTTTGCTAAAGCTACTAGAAATATAATTTATGTTTTTGTATTATGTAAATATGGTTACAGTTTACAGTTCAATAGAAATGAATGTCTAGTTTATTTTAGAAATAAACTTGTTGGCAAAGCTATCAATACAAATGGTTTGTATGTACTAGAATTAAATGACCATAGCATAAGAAATTCTATAACTAAAAAACGAACTCGAAATGAAATTAATTATAAATTACTTTGGCATTATAGATTATGTCATGTAGGAGACAGAAGAGTAATCTAGTTAGGAGAAAGTGGACTTTTAAGTTTATTAGGTTCAGAACCCTATCCGACCTGTGAATCTTGTCTTCAAGGAAAAATGACTAAGTCACCCTTTAAGAGTAAAGGGGAAAGAGCTAAAGAATTGTTAGAATTAATGCATACAAATATATGTGGACCATTTAATGAAATGACTAGAGGAGGTTTTCACTACTTCATTACCTTTACTGATGATTATTCAAGGTATGAGTATTTGTATTTAATGAAATAAAAATAAGAATCTTTTGAAAAGTTCAAAGAATTCAAGAATAAAGTAGAGAAACAAAGAGTATTAAAATTCTACGAAATCAGATCGTGGAGGTGAATACTTAAGTACAAAATTTCTAGATTTTCTAAAATAAAATGGGATTATATCACAATTAACTTCTCCATTTACGCCACAACACAATTGTGTATCTGAGATGAGAAATCGTACTTTATTGGATATGGTACGATCGATGATAACTTTAACGGACTTGCCAGTTTACTTGTGGGGGTATGCCCTACAAACAACAGTGCATATTTTAAACAGAGCACCATTTAAATCAGTCTAAAAAACACCATATGAAGTATGGTATGGCAAACCGCCTAGTCTTAACTATTTAAAAGTATGGGGTTGTTCAGCTTATGTTAAGACTGTCAAAACAGACAAATTGGATGTAAGATCTGAAAAAGGTCTGTTTATAGGGTATCTTAAAGAAAGTTTAGAATATTATTTTTACTTCCCTTCTGATCAAAGAAATATCAATCAGTAGAAACACAGATTTCCTTGAGAAAGAATTCTTAGAAGAATGAGGTGTAGGAAGAAAAATTGAACTCAAGGAATATTCCTAAGAGTCTCAAATTGACAATACTCAAGTAGGTGAATTAGATCAAGAACCTTTAACGCATGACACAACGGTTTCAACACGTAAATCTTCTAGAATATCTCGACCTCCAGAGAAATATTATAACTTTCTACATGAAAAAGTTCTATTTTTTTTTTTCAGTGGGAGAAGTTGATCATAGAGATGATCCTAAAACTTATGAAGCGATATTAGATATCGATTCTAGAAGCGATTAATTATGAAATAGAATCTATGCACGCTAATCAAGTTTGGATGCTTCTTGATCCTCCAAAAGGAATAGTTCCTTTTGGTTGTAAATGGGTCTTTACGAGAAAGGTTGGCAAAGATGAAAAAGTGGAGACTTATAAAGCTAGACTGGTAGTGAAAGATTATACTCAGAAACAAGAGTTGGATTATAAGGAAACTTTTTTGCTTGTTGCAATGCTTAAATCCATCAAAATCATGCTAGCCATAGCAGCACACTATGATTATGAAATTTGGCAGATGGATGTCAAGACCACATTCCTCAATGGATTTATTGAGAAAAACATATATATGCAACAACCTGAAGGTTTTGTATCTAATATTGAGAGACATAAAGTGTGCAAATTATATAGATTCATTTATGGATTGAAGCAAGCTTTCAGAAGCTAGAATATCCGATTTGATGAAACGATCAAAACTTTTGATTTCATAAGGAATCTGGATGAACCATGTGATGCAAATGAGTAAAAGATCATGTCATGATTTTCCTCAAATTATATGTAGATGACACATTATTAATGTGAAATGATATTGGCATGATGATCGAAGTTAAGATGTGGTTGTCAAAGGCTTTCTCAATGAAAGATTTGGGAGAAGCAATTTGCATCCTAGGAATTCGCATCTATGGAAATAGAGCGAAAGGACTGATACGGTTATCTCAAAGCATGTATATAGAAAAAATGTTGAAAAAGTTCAACATGCAAGACTCCAAAAGAGGTTTTTTACCTTGCGATCATGGACTATATCTTTCTAAGGATATGAGACTTAAGATTAATCAGGAGAGACAGTTGATGCGTAATATACCTTACGCTTCAGCCATAGGTAGTCTTATGTACGCAATGCTATATACAAGGCTGGATATAGCCTGTGCTGTAAGTGTTGTGAGAGATATCAATCAAATCTAGGAGAGAAACACTGGTCAGCATTTAAAATAATCTTTAAGGACTTGAGAAAGACTAAAGATTTAATACTGAGTTATAGAGGTTCAGAATTGAAAATCTAGGGATACTCAGATTCCGATTTTCAATCAGATGTGGATGATAGAAAGTCTACATCCGGATTCATCTTTACATGTAATGGATGAGTAGTTAGTTGGAAAAGTTCCAAGCAGTCGACCACTACCAACTGTACTACAGAAGTTGAATATATTGCCACTTCAGAAGTAACAAAAGGTGTGTGGATACACAAATTTGTAGCTAAACTTGACGTGGTTCCGAACATGAGTTATCCGATAACCTTGTTTTGCGACAATAATGGTGGGTGTTTGGTTTACTATTTTGGATAGTATTCTCTATCCTATTTCAAAAGTACACCTTTGGTGCAATATTCAAGTAACACTATTTTGAAAACCCAATTCTACCATTTTTTTTTTTTACCGTTACCTCTCTCCTGTTTGATTACTTGTCTCTCTCATCTATTACTATCTCTTTGACAAACACACATTCTTCTTCGTCTTTCTTCACGCATTAGATGTTTCATTCCTCTTCTTCTTCTTCATCACTCCTTCACCAGGCGATGCCTACTCGCTTCCTCCCCTTATCTCTGTCTCTCTATCCTGGCTCAGATCTGTAAGAAGAAGATCCGTGAACATAGCTTACGCTACCAACGTTCCAACTCAGATCCAACCGATCTTCACTATTTTAGTGCACATCTCTCTGCTTTTCTCACATTTGGCTCAGCTCCGGCTTAGATTCGTAAGCGCTTAAACTGTCTTTTTAACTGTGTTTTTTGAGTTAAGAGTTTTAGAATCATCAAATATTAGGGAGGATCTTAGCCATGTTTTTCTATTTATCTCTCTTAAAAATGGGTTCAACTGGTGGGGGTTTGGTAGAATTTGATGCAATGGGTGGCTTGCCAGTAGAGGGTTGAGTGAGCGGTGAGTGTTGTGTGCCGGTGAGATGTAGAATTTTTAGGAGAAAAAAAAAATTGGGAAAAAAATAAAGAAAATGAAAAGGGAGAGTAATAGGAAAAAAGAAAAAAATAAATGTTTAGTTTGTTTTTTTAATTATGTTAAAATTTGCTAGCTACGGAAGTCCAAATGGAGCATGTAGGTCATTTAAGGAGGGCAATATTCAAGCAACAAATTACATGTTGTTCTGTTGTTATGTAAGGGTAAGGAGAAATAAAAATTGAATATGACTTTGTCTTTACTTTTTATGTGGGTTGACGTTGAATATCAAAGGAAGAAGTGAACAAAGTGAAAACAGAGAATTGAATGAAGTTGGTGTTGTTAGGTTGAGTAGGTGTAATTGTTAACGTAATAGTAAAGATTTGTGTTTGTTTCATTATTCCAATTTTTTTTTTGGGATTTGTCTAAGTTATATATTTGTTTTGCAGATTTGGCATTGTAATTTGATTGTAACAACAAATTATGATCATATGAACAAATATCAATGTAATTTTGTCCCCTATCGTAAGATTGATTACCACTTTTGGCAAAGGAAGAAGTTTCGACATTTTTCTAGACTTGGAGGTCGTCATACACTATGTTGGTCAACTCTGCCCGTAGCTTCCCCTGCACTAACAATTTCAAGTAGTGTTGGATTGAATAAGGTAACAATTTCTCTCTGTTTAGTTTATAAGGTTTAAATTTGCATATGTTTGTTGGTGATGTGTTTGCTGATTATTACGATGTCCTAATCTAGGTTTTCGTTCTCATCATACTGTTATTAGATGAGTGATAATGTCAACTGGTCCATTGAGATAACCCGCAAATTTCTTGTTCTGTTGTCTGAACGTGCAAAAACTTCTCACGGTACTTCTATTAAATCAATAGATTACCAGAATATGTTGGGTGATTTATCATCATTGGCTGGGAAGAGACTCAACGTCACACATTTATCTTCTAAGTTCTTTTGCTTGAAAAAAGTATATCAAGCTTGGTAAAAATTATTTCAACACACGACGTTCGGTTGGGATCATGAGTCCCAAACTCCAACACATTCCTTAGAGGTTTGGGAAGAATATACCAAGGTAAATTTAAAAATTTTAAATTCATAAACGCATATGGTTCATGCGGTGTATAAACACGAGGCTAATCATGTCATGTGTAAAAAGCCGATTTGGCCATGAGTAATTTATGTGTGAAGACAAGTGATAGTCAAAATGAGATCTATTAACTTGGTATAGGTTGATATCAAGTTCTTAGACAAATATCAAAATACATTAGAAAAGGGAAATCTCCGGCTAGGGTATATAAAATGTTAACTGAAAGGTTGTTTCATGGTGACACACTCCAAATGTATTAATTATCAATTTGATATAAGATTAAGACAAGGATATTGACATACCATGAACACGTTCTTAATCGGGATTAGACCACGAAGGGATTTTATTGCATGTTGTGCATGATTATAAAAGGGTTCATTAGAGTATAACTTCATTGTGACTTAGGGGTTATGGAGCATTACTAGATGCCTATCATAATCAGTGAGAGTTTTGGTCATAAAGAGTTATAATGAAACACATCAGAGTAGACTATGATATTGGGCGTACGGCTAGGCCACAGTGAATCTAAGATGTCACACATAAAAACTAAGGAGAATGGAGAAATAGCCAAAGAGGGTTGATTATCCAAGGTTGGCTAGCACTTACCAAGGGTAATAAAGTTATTTATAGTATTTTCATTGAATTAGATTCAATGGAGGGTTATCTTGGTAATTATAAATAATTTAAGAGTTAAATTGCTAATTGGAATTAAATGGAATTCCAATTCATAATTAATCATTTTCTTTTTATTAAATCGGATTTAATAATGGGTTGTAATTGTAAACTTATACACAATTTAAGGGTTAAATTGTTATGTAAACAATTTAAGAATTAAATTGTTAATTATGATTAAATGTTAATCCAATTTCATAATTATGGAATTAGTTATAACCCTAAGGTAGCGTTTAGTTCGGGGTGATATAAGATTAATCCTGTAATCTTTGTTTAATTTTCGAAATTCCCTCGTTTGGTTGTTAAGTAATAAAATATTACGTAAATTTTTATTGCAAATAGTATTTACTATTGGTAATATTGGGGGTAATCAGATTACCTTCCCACGGGGTGTTAATAGAAGATTACCGAGGTAATCTTAATTTTGACCCTATTTTGCCCTTAATCTTTTATCATTTCGGACACATTTACCCTCATATGTCTACCAAATAACAATTACCCAGACCCCTTACATTTGAGAATTTAGATAAAACACCCCACCACAAAAAAGTTTAAAAGTTAATAAAATACCCACAACCACCCAAGACCACCGTCGGCCGCTAGCCACCTCCGTTAGCTGTCGGCAAAAGTTATAATATCGGCACAAGACCGGTAGGATCTTGTCGGTCGTGTGCCGATAAGGATGTTTCTGGCCATGGATTTGTGATCCATGGTCGGAAACGACCTGATCTGGCAGTTTCACGGCCAAAGATGTGACTGTGAAATGCCATAGATTTGGCCATGAAAAGGCTAGATCTTTGGCCGTGAAACGGCCATATTCACAGCCAGATCTGGTCGGATTAGACCTTATCGGTGCACGACCAGCCAGATTTAGCTAGTTGTGCTCCATTACGGTGGCTATCGGTAGTGGTGGCTAGCTGCCGACGATGGCTGGGGATGAGTGGGAGTGATTTTGCTACAAATTAAATTTGTATATGGTTGGGGTGTTTTAGCAAAATTTTTAAGTATATGGGGTTAAAAGAAATAATTTAAAAAATAATAATGAAAATAACATTATATTATTATTTAAAAAGGTGGGCAATTTAGTAGTCTATATAACATACCCACTCATTTATCCTCCCAACCAAACATATTATTATAACATACCCATCAATTTATTCCAACCGACCAAACACGTTTCTCTAAAGATTCCTTAGTAATCTATCTTTCTAGTAATACAATATTTCTCAGTAATGTAATATTCCCTTAACCAAACACACCCTAAAAGAATAATGAAATTGCATAAGGGCATCCTTGAACAATTATTGAATTGTTTATTGGCTCATCTATATAAAGAAAATAATATTCGATTTTTACTAGAATGAAAAATTGAAAAACCCTAGAATTTTTCTCTCCACGGTTGAGTTCTCTCTTTCAACTTGGTGTGGACTTTCTTTTGTTAATTTCTCTTGAAATTGGAAGATCTCCTAACTACTAAGGAACTAAGGTAACCAGTTTTTACTTTATTTAATTCAAGTTTTTTTAATTTTATTTAAAAACCCTAATATGCATAATATAGTGATATATGCTTCCAATTAATGTTCTTCCATGCAATCCATCTTTCATTAAATTGGGGAAATTTTGTAGGTGATGAACAAGCTTAATTGACCTTGTTTAATTGGTGAAAATATAATTGGTTTGTTTAAATATTCATTTTATTTTGGAGAGTTCTATGTTCCATTTCAACGTCCATATACCTCTTCCCTCACTTGTCTTGTGAATGCAAATGATTGCCAGCTTCATGAAAGAAATGGATAGATTTTGAAGGTGTAGAGTTTAAGTTCAATAAAGGGTGTTGGGCTTGGCACTTTTGTTTATTTTGGAAACATTTGGGGTGAGTTATGCACGTGATCGGTGGTTGGCAAATATATATTTTTATGGATTGAACAATTGGATGATTTGGGTTTGAAGTGTTGTTGGGTTTTGTTAATTGAAATAATGGGATCGAAATGATTGGGTTTTGAAGTTAATAAGTTTAATTGAGTCACTTGGGCTTTGGAGTCAATGGGGTTAATTGAAGTACTTGGGCCTAATAGTGTTTGTTAATTGACAAAGTTGGACTGTTGAGTTATATATTAATTGATAGGTTTAATTTAATAAGTGGACTAGCCCATTATTAATAAGGCCCCAAAAGTTGTGTTGACTGGGTTTTGGGTCTTATTTTAAATTGTAATTGGTTCAAGGATTCTCAAGGGGTTAATTGAAACGTTTGAAACCTTTGGGACTAACTTAAATTAAAGGGTAAAGATGAGGATTGATAATTTACATATCCTTATTTCGAAACATTACACTCGTTTGTACACGTTAGCATTATTATGAGCCATATGACACCCATATTCGAATGCTCACATGAAGGCATGAAGTATCATTAAAGGTTGGAAAATTCGAGAGTGTGATGTGTTGAATATGCGAGTGAGTGTGTAAGGATGTGTTTGGCTGGGAGTGAAAAAGAAAGTTGTGTTTGGATCTAATATCACTCTTCCATAGTAACCAACCCTCTTCAAATATCAGATAGCCTGTATTATGTTTCTTAGCCTCTCGTGTATGTTGAGATGATTCGTACTATCGCATGGTGGTAGCTTCTTATCGGGACAATACAGACGCCTAAAGAGCTCCAGGCGGGATATTATGGCATATCATATCATGACGTCTTGAGGATAGACTGTGGGTTGACAGACATACAAAGTTTAATCCTTCGTAAGTGCACGAGTCATAATTGCAGCATAGTGCATGAGTAAGGGTCGATCCCACAGAGACTGGAAATGCTCTTGTGATCGTAGTAACTACACCTTGATGAATCAAAATGAGAATGAAATAAAGAAAAACAAGTAAACAACATTAAAGTAAATCTACATCTAACTATATACAAAAAATCTTAGGGCTCTAACTCTATCATAATCATCAGGCTACATGTTCATCATCAAATTATCGTTCTCCCCACTCCATTCTAGGGTTCGTACATCATCGGGTTCAACCTATGGCGTATAGCCTAGTCTAAACAATGAAGGAACCAATTCGCATAGACACAAATCATCCATTCACATAGCTAATCAAGATAGGCACAACATCTCTCGTTTATGAGATATTACTGCAGCCATTCGAAATACTTAGTGTTTCCATCAACTAAACTAGCTAGTGGCGTATAGCCTAGTCTAGTAATGAAAACCCATTAAGCGCAAGACGATCTTAAAGACAATAACCAATCTATACCCAGGCAAGGCTACAAATCAATCATCCCATACCCAATCTTGTCTCACACAATCAATTAACTAACATTAAGGTTGATCAAGCCCTTATATCAACTAAAGATTGAATTAAATGCAATGAATGAATTTAGAACATAATAGAATGGATCAAACAAATAGATTAATAATAAAACACAAGCCTTCAATTAGATTACATCAAATCTCTAGAAACAAAATACAACATAAAGAAAAAGAAATAACAACACCTGGAACCATAATCGTGAAGAACAAAAGAGGAGGAGAGGAAGAGAACCTCCTCTCCTCTCCTCTCCTCTCCAAGCTCCACCTTTCCAAGAAGCCCCAAATGAATTCTCTCCTTAAAATGTGTATATTCAACCTCAGAACTCCTAAAAAAGGGACTAAAGCTGCCTTTATATAGTTTCTAGACAAAATGGCAAACTTGTAAATATAGGTAACCGAAATTAGGGTTGGAAATACGACATTTTTACATTATGCACGATTTGTGCTACGACGCAGTTGAATTGAGCAGCTCAGTTTAGTTGCGCCGCGGTGTAGTTCGTCAACATTGTGCTGCGGCTCAGAAAATCGTGCTATGACGCAAAGTCAGAATTTCACTCTTTTTCTTCTCCACTTGATTTATCCGCACTAGAATGGGTCCAAGATATCCGAACACTAACACAAGCATGAATAATGCATTCTTTTACACCTAAATACCTAAAAATACGCACAACACCCATGATTATAAAAGATAACGAAACATGCAAGAAATCACATCATAAATCATTAATTTAACCTTAAATTCCTTACAGTTTTACTTCTAAATCACTAAATAAATCCTTATTTTCAACACTTAACATGGGTCGAGTATGGTTATACAATGATGAGTATACCATTCCAAGGATAGACTTTGAATGGTACCACCCCGAGGATAGACCATGGGTGAGATATTGATAAATGATGCCCCAAGGATAGACTGTGGTTGAGATTCTTCTATATGATTTCATATCATGACACCCCAAGGATAGGCTGTGGGTCGAGTATGGTTATCTTGTGATGATTTAC